GATAAACAAATGTTCAACAAAAATCTTAGTCTCTTGTTTGCAGTTGTAAATTTACTCTATGTATCTGTATCAAGATTTTCCCCACATAAATAGCATTAAAAAATTACAGTATATTCCAGAAAAATTTAGCATTTCTAATTGTTTATATCGAACTTTAACAAGATTAAGCGAATGTGCAGCAGGGGGAATGTACATGGAATGTACATTCCCCCTGCTGCACATTCGCTTAATCTTGTTAAAGTTGGGGGAATGTGCAGCGAATGTACATGGGAAAACAGTAGCTAGGTTATCAACTTTCATTATGAAAGTATGCGGGTTTATAAATTAAACATTCATTTCGAACTTGAGGATTTAAGTATGATACTTGTTGTTTGGTTCTTTCACTTAAAGTAAGTTTTAAAGTGGAATAGTAATCACAGATAAGTTGTATCGTATTAAGTAAAACTACAATTATTAATCATTTTAAAATATATACTCACCACCTGAAATCAGTAATGTATTATTCCTTTACATCATACTTTTCATTGAACAGAGGGGTCATCCAAGTCCAGAAGGACATTATCCGTCTATTGACGGATACTTGGACAGCTGCTTGTAGGAAGAAAGGCAGTGAGCACCTCCGTCCCTTCACCACATAGTATTATCACTATTCCTCGAATATGCACATGAAAACTTTGCTGGCCCGGCTAAGCACGGAGACATCATCACAAAAGTATTCACACTTCTTATATTCTCGCCGATTAAGTGATTCACCGAATTGTCCTCACTGCGAAGCTCAGGAGACGTCCCTTCATTTTTGCCTGCAGTGCCCTCAATACGCTAGCGCCCGCCAAGATCTGGGCACGACACTAAACATTAACTTAACACACGTAAATACTGTGCTTCCTAATTCATGAACCTAAGACCAACATTACTGCCCGCCATCACGTGATGAGGCTTGAAACTTACGTCACTCGCACCGGTCACTTCCACTGACCAATGAGTGCAGTCGATTCGGAGAAAGAGCCTACAAGGCTAATATCTCTATATTAACTGTAACGAAGAGAAGAAAATGGTCATCCAAGGGGGAATATTTCAGGGGGGAATATTCAATCCAATTTCAGCAAATCCAATTTCAGGGGAGAATATTTCAATTGGAATAACGTAAAGTTTAAAATTCATATATTGTTAATCCGGGCGTCCTGCCTCAAAGGTTTTCATACGAATTAATTTTATTCCGTCTGATTTATGGAAAACTAGATAAAAGAATAATTAATATTCGCTACCCACGATCAAATTTAGTAATAACAGCAGACAAATCGTAAAATTCACTTTGCGTGTTTAGAAGTAATAAATACATGTTCTTGGAATTTTTTTACCTTAATAAATTAAAACGACCGAACAATAAATAGGAAATTTTTTCTTAGAATTAAAATTAAATGGCGTCAATAAAAAAATAGCGAATTTATTGAATTATGTTAGATCCAAACAAAATAAAATGAAAATTGTGCATAAAGTGCTTTACAAAATTATAGAATCGACTATTAAATGAACTCAAAATCATTAAATACTACAAAATAGTTTAAATTAGTAATTTATAGGCGCACCTCCTGAAGTAATAACATCGAAAATGCGATTTGGAATCCCAACAACTAGGTTTTTATGATCGATGGTTCCAGGGAACTGCAAGCAGTGACAATTGCTCGTTTTAAGTGTCCAACGTGGGCGTAAGATCGATTTTTGTCATAAATTTGCCCAATCAAGATCTCCCATACGTTTTTCATAGGGTTGCAATCAGGAGAACGAACTGGTCACCTCAGAAGTTGAATCCATTTATTTTGAAACCACTGTTTTGGATGTCGTGATACATGGATAGATATGTTGTCCTGTTAAAAAATAAGAGGAATCCTTCTGAATCTTCGTTTGTATAGCAGCAATTTGTTCTCCAGAACTTGTTGATAGTCGCCGCTATTCATGAAACACGTAAAGAATGCCAAATCCAATTTCCCAATACAGAAAAAGCACTCGAAACCATAACACTCCTACCACCGAAATTTCCTCGCAGTTTTGCTGCGAACAATGTTTCTGTTGTACAAAACGCTTCAAACGGTGTTAATTGTTAATTATTTTAGTCTTTCTTCGTACGGACATTCACATAAAACAGTGTTTTCTATCCTCTGTAATGGTGGCATTTCTACTTCTTTATATACTTTGTACAGTACATGTATTTATAATTCATATTCATTACTTTAAATTACGTTCGGTAGTATCAATGAACTGATTACACACTCATTAAATTATTTATCATTTTAGGTAAGCGAACATACAATAAATTTTAATAGCACACGTTAAATGGTGCTGCTCATTACTATATTTCGCGGCACGACTTAAAAGAATTTGGCGGTTTTCTGTGTTAAACTGGTTTCAGTTCTTTATTTCGATAAATTTTAACGTAAATATTTCTTAGAAAATGAGATTTTAATATATTAAAATTTTGTTCTGAATTTTCCCATGGATTAGCTGTTTTATATGTTGATTCAGTTAACGTCTCTTCAATCCGAAAAAAGGAGATATAAAAGATTCTACCTCACAGCCAATTCAGCTAATAAAAGGAGTTTGTAACCTGAATTGGCTGTGAGGTAGTCTCCTGGAAAGATTTTTTCGGATAGAACAGACGTTCACTAAATCAATATAAAAATTTCTTTAATACTTTAATTTATGACGTATGAAAAAATGTTCGATTTTCGCAATAGATAAGACACAAGGAAAATCGCCATTCACCTCATTGGTTTAACATTCAAAAATAGCAAATGTTTTCAATCTGATTGGTTACTTTTGATAAATATCCTATTGATTGTTTTCAGAAAATTCTACTCAGAAATTGCATAGAGAATTTTTAACTAATTGCAAGTGTCTATAGACATATATTTAACACATGTAATTGTAGAAAGGTGAGGAATTTTTATTTTAAAATTCTATAAAATTATTTTAATTGCTGACTTGAGGCTATTTATCTACTTTCTAATTAGTATATTTACGTCTATTTTTAATTATCTCGGCCGTATTAGTTTGGACGGATGGGCGAGCCTACCGTCTATGAGGTACAGGGATCGGATCTGGGAGTGCTAATTCCCCAGATATTCTCTATGAGTGTTCAATTCCGGGTATGCCTTCCCTTATTACTTACTCGGGCTCCTCATTGTTGAACCAGTGGCGTACCGTGGGTGTCAGCCGCCTGGGGCGGAGGAAAATTTCGGGCTCCCCTTATTTAGTTATTTCAATTTAAAAGACCAAAATTCAGTTTTATCACAGAACAAGCAATGAAAAATTCGGTGGTAGTGCAGCGACCTGTTTAAAATAGTCCTGTTGGATATTAGCGGTTTATATGAACGCAAATGAATCGTACAAGCAAAAAAAAAAAGATCAACAAGTTTCGCAGGATTTCCTCGGATGAAAAAATTACTAGTTCTTCCGGATGGCGAGCCGATTCCCGGACTGTCGGACGATAGCACTATCGTAGGCGCGATGCAAGTATAGATTAGGATATTTCCAATTTTTACAAGATATTATTATTATTTATTGTGAAATTTTGCCTCCCCCACTACGGTACGCCACTGTGTGGAACTGGCGGAACTTACGAGGATAACCAGTGATAGAGTGAAAACATGCGAGTCCACCAGTGGATGAAACCGCAGGACACTGATATATGGTATGCCTCACGATAGGGCAGTCCATTTGTAGTTTTACCGGTTATGTTTACGTGTCTGATATCTAAATATCGACCAGTTTTCCCATTGAAATTCCTCCCGTCAATAGATCGCTCGATGTTGCCTTCGGTATTCTATCAAAGCAATCAAATCTGAAAACAAATCCTCTTATTGCCCATAGGGAAAAGTGTTTAAAGAAGTCAAAAAGCCAAATTTTCCTTTCCGACTCTGTTATATATAACAGAGCAAACAATGATGCTTTAAGATTTCTACATTTTTTGAACTAAGGGGACTTGAGACATCGAGAAATGCAAAACATTTCGGGGTGTTTTTTCTGCATTTATGGATGTTAATTTGCGAATAAATTAAACATTTTTCTTGATGACATAAATAAAGAGAAATGCTATCCGCATTTCGGGTGACGGGTGTTAATAGGGGTCAAATCGTAGCCTTACTTCTCATTTTGAAAGTGGAAGCACGTATTAGATATACTACACATTTGTAATGATGAGTAAGATGAGGGGGATCAGCCAACTTACAGCCCTCTTGTAGAGTCAAGTCTATGTTTCGTTGCACTAATTATTATAATTAAAGAAATAATGCAGTTTTTCCTTCATTAGTAACTTCTGTTCAGCAGTTTTCCTTCACGTGTTGTTTGACAACTTTCTCTAATTGCAGCTTTAAGCTATAATTAATTGTCATGACAACAATTAGATGTATGTTTGTTTTTTATACAGAAAGTGAAGTATTTTATAGCATAAAATTTTAGAATGAATGAGCTACTCGTATGTAATTTATATTCTAATTATTTATATTATTATAATCGGCTTCAATTTAAAACTTCCTGTATAGTTCCTGTATATATATAGCAAAATAACTGAATATAAATCTAAACAGTGATCAATCTGTATCAAGTTTCCTTATTTATTCTACAGGTGAGGCAGTAAATATAGGTTAACAGAATACCGGGATCTCTCATTCTTGTGATTTCATTCTCTATAATTCTTCATCATAAGCAACACAAGGTAAAGATAAAATAGCAAACATGTCTCTTCTTATTATATTTCTCCAGTAAACTGCCTAGTATACTTTTAAATAAAGAAGAATACAATTTATTTTACAAACATTAATTCTTTCATGCAAACAAGTTATCAACATTTCTTTATTGAAGAGAATAAAATGAATATCGACTGTATAAGAGAAAACCTTTGCATCATTTACAAGAGATTAGGAAATGTAATTGGACGGCATCCATATTATTTTATAAGTATACCTTTACTTCTCACAGCATCTCTCTCTCCCTTCCTTGCAAGGATGTCGACTAGCGAAGATTATTATGACGTTATAGTTGCAGATAGTGGAAAGATTTTTAATACTAAGATATTTGTTGAAAGTACTTTTTCGTATAATTCAGAAGAATTTTCTGATCAGATTAGAATTCCTGATGTTACCAATACCCTATTAATATATATCACGAGAAAAGGTGGAGGAAAAATGTTCGATAAAAATGTTCTTTCGAATGTAAGATTAATCGATGAAATAGTACAAAACGTAACACTTAACAAGGATGATAAGCAAATACATCATTATGATATTTGTGCATTAAGTAACAATAAATGCTTCCAAAATCCGATTATTGAAGTCATGTCAGAAGTGGGTGTGAATTCTTTACTTCAGAAAAGAAAGAAGTTGAAATATCCCATTGATATAGATCCATTGTCTTTTACCTATAAAATTTACTTTGTAAATTTGGGTGGAGTAATTTTGGATAATGATAATTTCATAGAAAATTTTAATGCCGTGATGTTATATTATTCGACAGATGAAAAAAATAGAGAAAAGAAGGAATTGTTTGATGAATGGATGTTGGTGGTTTACAATATTATCCAGAAATATAATTTTCCACATGTCAACGTCTTTCCAAATTCGCAGTTATTTATGCAGAAAGAATTTATGAATAAGTTAAATGCAACAAAACCTAAAATAGTAGGTTTAGTAGCGTTTATGATTGTATTATCGATACTTTTCTGTATGAGCAACAGTTGGGTGCAAAGTAAACCCTTTCTTGGTGCAGCCAGTGTCATGTCGGCTGGATTAGCAGTTGTCTCTTCTTTCGGATTAATGTCAGCTTTCGGTATAAAAAATATCTCGTGGAATGCCACTATTCCATATCTAGTGCTTGGTAAGATGTTTTATATATTTATATCTATTTGTTTAGTAATAATACTACCAAGTTAATTGCTTATTTATTTATTCTTTAGTGACAGAGATAGATGATGCATTCGTACTGATAGGTTGCTGGAGAGTCACCAATCCCAAACATACGGTTGACAAGCGCATGGAAGTAACATATTGTGAAGCGGGGATTTCCATCACGTTAACTTCACTCACCAACTTCATTTCTTATTGCATCGGAATGATGAGTCCATTTCCTTTTGTCAGAGTATTCTGTTATTATACAGCGACTTGCATTGTATTTACGTTTTTGTATGAGATAACGTTTTTTGGAGGATGTTTAGCGATAAGTGGATACAGAGAAGATCGTGATATTCGTTCTGTGGTATGTTTTACAGGAGGTGAGTTGAATGAAAAAATTTAATGTTTAAAATTTCAGTGTAAATAAAAATACAGTAGAGCGTCGATTTTCCGAAAGTCAATCATCCAAAACGTCAATCATCGGAAAGAATTCCAGTTGGCAAATTTAAATTTTCGCCAGTGCTGTGGCGCTTCAATCTTTGGCTATGTCTTGGGCTACTCAAATATTTTACGTTTTTGATACTAAATTAACATCTGAAGTATAATTTTTTATTATTTTTATATTTTTCAATATGTTTATTTTGTTTGTACAAAATAAAAAAATAATTTTTAACGATACAATAGTCTTTGCTAGGCTTAACATCGACGAAAATTCAACAAGAAGAGACACGCAACGGAGAAAAATTTCGACATCGGATACGTTAAACTATTTTATCGTACGTAAATCACTTATCCGAAATATCAGTTATCCGGACAACACCAGTCCCCAATTTATTCGGAAAATCGACGCTCTACTGTATCATTTTATCCATAAACGGAACAGGGTGAATAAAAATATCTCCAAGGTTTTACATGTTAAAATTATTAAAAAGAAAGTGGGCTTATCAGTGATCAATGTTTCAAAACCGAAATTATAAGACCATTGTAATTATTTAAATCTTCATGTTGCACTGTTATTACTTCCATTTTGATCTACTTTTATAATGCATTTTATCATTAAATACGTTTAAATCGTGAAAATTTTTATTTCAAATATCTATTTTGAAGTTTTATTCTTTACAGGAGAATCCGAAGAAGACAGAGAGGCAAATGACGTGGTAGAAGAAACGTCGATGGCATTTGTTAGAGATGTATTAGGAACAATACTGTCAATTCCAACAGTAAAAATAATTGTTGGGTTTATATATGTAATTAATTTATCTGTTGCAATTTGGGGTGCCGTTTTCATTCAACATGGCATTAAGTTTGAAAATTTATTTTCCGAAGGATCTGTACTGCGAGAAAGCTCTCGTATTAGATTCACATATTTCACTGACTACTCTTATCCTTTTCACGTAATCATTAACAAAACCTTGGATTACTCAGATATAAAAGTTCAAAAATCCATAGAAAATCTCTTAAAAAGGTTCGAGCAACATCCCCACGTGGCCAAAGAGCAATACACTGTATCCTGGTTAAAGTTTTATAAGGAGTTTCAGAATAATCCTGTTGCAAAATTTTCGTTAGGAGGTTATAACATGTCGAACAAACAGGATTTCATCGATGGTCTTCGTAATGTCTTCTTCAAACTTCACGCAGCCAAGTCACTGTCAAATGATGTCGTCTTCAATAGCGATGGAACCGACATCTTATATAGTAGATTCTTCGTTATGGGAAAAAATTTGAATTCTTCACAAACAGAGAGAGATACGTTGAAAGAAATATGGGAAATTGCCGAAAAATCTGAAATTCCTGTATTGGTACATTGCATAAAATCCAGTGTAATTAACCAAGGTATAATCATAAAACATACAATTTACCAATTATTTTGGATTACGGCTGTTTTAATAATTGTAATCTTTTTCCTAATGGTAACGAATTTCTTAGTTGCTATCATTGTGGCCATTTCAGTGCTTACTTCTATAATAGAAACTTTGGGTTACATGTCATTATGGGGCGTTAATGTGGATATTTTCTCTATGATGAACCTTATTTTATGTGTCGGATTCAGCGTGAATTATCCTTGTCACATGTCTCTTGCCTATTTCACATCATCCAAGAAAAGTGCGAACGAGAAAATGAGAGATTCTATGTATCGTATTGGGCTTTCTGTAATTCAAGGTTCTGTGACCACTGGACTAGGAATATTGGTTTTGTATTCTGAAGTATATTTTTTGTCGACATTTGTGAAAGTTGTGGTGCTTGTTGCAATAGAAACGGCTTTTCATGCATTGGTTTTTATTCCTGTTGTACTTTCAACGATTTTTATAATATTCGAACAGAGACAAACTGTTTAAACTTTAGTACCCTGATTCCCTGATTCAGCATTTCCGTTTTAAATACTCTGTTTATCTAAAGTAATACGGCAATAACTTAAATCCTGAGTGCCGAAATGGCACGTCAGGTCTGTGCAACACATAATGACAAGCAGAATTATTACGCTTGTTAGTTTTATTATTAAAATTTATTGCAAATTCATATGATAATTATAGTTTATTTAGTAGTTTTGTAATCATTTAATTGAAAATACAGTATACAGTTTACACCAACTGTATATAGGCCTATACAAAAAATATTTATAATACATAAATACAGAAATAAGGGCATCTCAAGTAAACATTGCCATTTACGGAGTGCCAATACTGTATTAGAAATTAAAATTAACATAAACATATTAATTATAATAATAAATGTTTTATTGTTAAAAAGTATTTGCAATACATTGTAAAATGAGGTACAATTTAAAAAGGTAAACACTAAAAATGTCGTTTTCCTCATTTTTTGATAGCAAGAAGCTGCTAAAAGCTTAGAAAAAGCTACCTATAAAAATCAAATAAATTTTATATTAAAAACAAATCACTATAAATTGTAATATAAACAATATTACTTATTAATAAATAAATACTACACAAAATAAAAAGTATATTTTATTGGCTTGTAAAAAAATTATTAAAAATTTGATATCAATTTTCTTTTTTATATCAAGTTTTGAGCTCCTGTAAAACTTTGGGCCCTAAACTAAAGCTTACACAGCTTACTTGTACATTTAGCACCATCTTTATAATTCGTTGCATAAATGTAATAGTAATGGCTTTGAAAGACGAGAAAGTTCTTTAAAGCGTGTATCATTCAGTCAAAAAGCATCACCTCGAAGAAGAAAGAAAAAACGAGATTCATGACATCCAATGCTAATTGTGTCTATCTTTAATTGCTGGTGAATTAATAACTTTCGTTACGTTCGTAACGGCACCTCGAGAATAATCGATAGGAAAAACTTAAGTCATCGCACGTGGCTATCGGAATCGAAGACGAAACGTATGGCGCGGAATAGCATTTTCACTCTGGGGACCTATTCTGAGTCGTATCGTTAAGCTAACGAATACGATAAAAGCCAGTTTCTATCGGAATCATTTGTTTCTAGTTTAAATTAGTATTCACCCTACTTTAAACCCTTGTCCTCCCGAGACATCTATGAGAATGCCCCGGGAAATCCGACTCCAGCTGTTCTCAAGGTCATCCAGCTGTGTAAACAATGACTCATTAGTGTCAAATTTCACAGAAAGGCGGGACAAAGGAAAATAAAATTTGAAGCTTTTTCTTCAAAATTAACGCATTTCTTTCGTTTTTTTCAGTTTTAAGTATTTTTTATGCTTAATTACATTATAATTAAAAACAGGTGGGCGTTAAGAGGTTAATCAAGTGTGAAAATGCTATTCCGAGCTGTACGTTTCGTTTTCGGTTCCAATAGCCACCTGAAAACAACATGGAGTCTTTTGGTGTAAGAATGATTTTACTTCACGAACAATTAGAGAGAGAGAAGAGTTAATAAACCATGCTGTTGTATTACTTAAAAATAATTACCTTAACTATTTATGAATAATGTGAGATCCGCGGATTAGTTAGATAAATTTCTATAAAATTTTATAACAAAATATTTTATTTCTTGATTTAAAAAATTTTAACAAAAAGGATGTACATTTTTCGTTTCTGAGAAAGGGAGGAAACGAACTTCCTTTCTGGATCGACTAGAGCTACTCACTATCCTGTGCAGACGAGTCAGCTGTCCCTATAAAAAAGGGTAGATTTCCCACCTTTTCACGCAGTTTGTCCGAAGCAAAACCTGCCATCCTAACTGGCCACGTAAGCGTCGATCTCGGTAATAAGATTGCCATATATAACTAAGGACCATCTCCCATACTATTTGAAGGGACCATATAGACAACAGAAAGCGATAAAAGATTTATTCTTCCGATTCACATTCCCAATAGAAGACTACGACTACGAATACTTCTAAGATATTTGATGAGGTAGTATGACGTTAAAATCCATGTAAACTCTCTCTCTCTCGCGAGTTAGAAGTTTTCGTATCTTGTAATTTTTTTATTTATTTCTTTTATTAAACGTTTTGTTATATTTCAATATGGGCTCATCCTTGACTAAAATCCGAGCCTACATCGACTCCACGTACTCGCGATCCTCCCACTCGAAATTCCCCTAAAAAGAGAAATAAGCATACTTAACCGTATATCTAGGCTGGTGTCATGAAAATCAACTTCCAGGAAATTCATCCTTCCAGGAAATCAACTTCCAGGAAAGTCATGAAAATTATCTTACTAACATGAATTACGTCACACATTTTAAGCGAGAACAAATAAATATGCAGCAATAGGTAACACAAGGGGATTTGAAAGTTATGTAATCACTCAGCACATATTCCAGGGATTCCTTACGAACTTCTGTTAATTATTTTAAATCTTAAAGGAACCAAATGGTGCACAAGAATTATTAAACTTTATGATGGACAATAATATTTTTTGTGTACAATCAAATGATTCTATAGGTGAAAGTGCATATTTAGAAGAATGTCTATCTTCTCATCAAAAAGTTACTCATTTTAAAAAATATACAACAAGCAATGAGTGAAATTGCAAAACATTTTGAAAGGAAGGCAACGACAGAAGAAAGGATGGCAGCAGCAGAAGAAAACAAGGCTGCTGCTTTGCATGAAATTGCTGTTTCATTGAGGAATTCTATAACAGAAACAGAAAATCAATAAATGATAAAAGCCGGTTATCAGCCCCCAAGAAATTTCTGTTAACTCGCCATCTGTGATTAAATTTTACACTCGAAATTTCAGCTCAAAATATTCAAACACGTGCTTTATTCAGAGGGACCATTCTTATGTTATGTACGGTACAACACAAACCCTGTTGGTGGTCGTTTGTGGCTTGTGCCGTACTTTGGATAAGAATAATTCCACAAGATAACTGTCAATCTCGTAGATGATGACTAGTGGGCTTTCCCAGAATAAATGTGCAGAAGTCATTTTCCTAATTCAACATGGGTCACTATTTACGCTATGATATTTAACTGAAATGTTCACCAATGGTGGTGGCTGACTCAAGGCAAATTTATTCTAAATATCAAATTTACTAATTGTGAATAATAGTCTTTTTTAAAAATATTAAAATCTATGTAAATGTCAGTCTTTAAGTAAAAATGAAAGACAAGAAATTATACATATATTTATTTACTTAATTTCTTATTACATGAATTATAATATTAATGACATTAAGAAAATGATCGACTTTTCTGCAAAAATATACGTGATTATATTTAAATGTCAATTTACTAAATTTGAAGTAATAATGTCTTTTCTTCTCATAACTAAAGGCCGGATATATATGCATTTAAATTCACAACATAAGAAGGTTAAAATTCCTAACTAATGCGTTATGCTAATTAAAAGTGCCCATAACATACAATAAAATTTATAAATTGAAATGCATAAGTACTTGTGTCTACATGCTAATCTTACTAACATGAATTACGTCACACATTTTAGTCGATATATACACTAGTACACTCAGACTAAAAAAAGAAGGAGCACAAGCTATACAAAAGGGCATTGTACTGTACATTTATGCAAGAAGCTTCAAACTGTATGATTCAACTTCGGATCACTGTGACGCTGGTTGCACTCGAGTTTCATTTGACCATAAGAACAAAAAATAAAGTTTGGTCATCACACGACATAGTTCCATGGATAAATGGACAAATATCATTCATTAGTATCTTTTATAAGTGCAGAACAGGGTAGAAGATAACTTACGAATTTTCGGTGTTTTTGGGTTCTCTTGGGAATTAGGAAAAGGCAGGACGTACAGTACCCCAAGTACCCAAATGATATAGTATATGATTTGTTAAAGCACGTAATTATTCAATATGTATTAAATGGTTATAATGGAGATATTTGTAATTTTTTATCTTCCTCAGTTATTCGGATTTATAATTTAGTCATATTTAATTACTTCGGGACCATTCTTCATATATGAATAAATAACCAAATCATTATGTTCAATATAAGATAACGAATGTATTAGCATATAGTGGCGATGCATATTATCTCATGGAATGTTACAAAGATCTTTCCAATGCTTTAATAACTTTATTCCAGGATTGCTGTTTATATTTCTTTGAAATTATCAATATTTTCAATCATTATAAAAGTTTTTACGGTATATCTCTCAATTTTAGCAGGGCGGAGAAGATAGAGAATGCAACGATTTGGCCAGCTGAAATAATTAAAATGTAATTATTATTTATAATTTATAGAAGTAACTTAGTATATAAATGTAAAATGATTACAATCGAGTTTTTCAGTCCACGCTCTATCTTTGCCTTTATTAATGAACAATTCTTACATTTGCAATACTTTTCTGTCGAAATTCAGAGAAATATGATAATTCGATTGTTACAGAATCACGTCGAAATGTAATTTATTAAGACGGAGAGTTAAGTATTTTCTATGTGGCTTACAGAATTGTATTCGTTCTCAAAATCTGTTCGATCGATTTTGCTTAAACTTTACCATCTTCCATTAATTAAGGCGAGGAATCCAAAAATGTAATAAAAAGTGTAGATCTGTGTCTTCGTTTTCGAGATAAAAGGTCGTAGCATGATAACGCGCGACAAATCGACTTTTTCGTGCGATATTCCACAATCTCTACGAACTTATAGAACTAACATTGCCATTTTCCATTAATCACGTTCAGAAATCCAAAAATGTAATGAGGGATAGCCCATAACTTCATTCTGATATACAGAAGTATTAAAGTGAGAATGTTTGTGCTTTCTGATGCAACTAAGTGCAACTACTTTTGGCCCCTGGGCCTAAAACAACATTCTGCGCGCCTAACAGAAAATTCGACGAAAAATGGGCAAACACAAGAACAAAGCAATCGTCATCGATTGTTTTATTCTTGGGATAGACTTGGATTCTTCTGTGTGGATTTCT